AGGGTACCACCAACTCGAGATTCGCAAGGAGGATCGCTACAAGACCGCGTTCAAGACACGGTATGGGCATTTCGAATGGCTGGTCATGCCGTTTGGCCTTATGAATGCCCCAGCCACTTTCCAAGCGGCTATGACAACGGAGTTCCGACACATGTTGGATCGGTTTGTACTCATCTACCTCGACGACATCTTGGTGTATAGTCGGAGTTTGGACGAGCATGTGGAACACCTGCGCACAGTTTTGGAGCGGCTATGACAAGCCAAGTACAAGGCAAACCGTGACAAGTGCGAGTTCGCACAGCAGGAGCTGGAGTACTTGGGACACTATGTGACGCCGCAAGGCATCAGTCCGCTTGTGGACAAGATCGAGGCCCTACGAGTATGGCCCGAGCCCACCAACACCACGGACGTTCGTTCATTCATGGGGTTGGCGGGCTACTATCAGCGATTCATCACCGGATACTCCAGGATTGCTGCACCTATGACGAGGTTACAGTCGCCAAAGGTGCCATTCGTATTCGATGACGACGCACGCCGGTCATTCCAAACACTTAAGACGGCTATGCTCATGGCACCCGTCCTTAGCATCTATGACCCCACCCTGCCGACGCGAGTGACTACGGACGCTTCCGGCTATGGCATTGGGGCAGTCTTGGAACAACACGACGGCGACGACTGACACCCTGTGGAGTATTTCAGCCACAAAGTGCCTCCCATCAACTCGCTTGATGATGCAAGGAAGAAGGAGTTGATCGCATCCGTGATGGCTCTCAAGCGTTGGCGACACTTCCTCCTTGGGCGTCGTAGGTTCACATGGGTCACAGACAACAATCCATTGACCTACTACAAGACGCAGGACACGGTGAGCAGCACGATCGGACGATGGATGTACTTCATCGACCAATCTGACTTCACACCGAAACATGTCCCCGGCCTCTCCAATCGCGCAGCAGATGCACTCTCGCGAAGACCTGATCTTTGCGCTATGACACATCATGCCTTCGCGTTCGACGAGGAGCTTCAGCGACACTTCATCTGGGCATATCAGTCTGATCCGGACTTCGGCACGCTCTATGCACAGCTATCTTCGGATCACCCGCCGGCCAGCCATTTCCGCATTGCCGACGGGTACTTGCTCCTCCACTCGAGAGGCAAGGACTTACTATGTGTCCCACGCGACCGTCGTCTTCGGACTCGCCTCCTCGGCAAGTATCATGATTCACGACTCGCCGACCATTTCGGAGTCAACCGCACTATTGCACGACTTCGACAGCGATTCCGATGGCCCGACCTCATTACCGATGTCACTCGGTATTGCGACTCTTGCGAAGTTTGCCGACGCAGCAATCCCCGCAACCGCAATCCCTACGGCGAGTTACACCCGATGCCTATCCCACAGGAACCCGATCTCTCCATTGCCATGGACGTCACCGGTCCGTTYCCTCGCGACCGGCTCGGGCACGACGGCATCCTCACGGTTGTGGACCGACTGAGTAAGTACGCGCGTTTTCTTCCTTGCAAGTACTACTCCACGGCTCCCGAGCTRGCACGCCTCCTGCACACTGGTTGGATTTGTGGCCACGGTGTACCAGGAGACATTGTCAGCGACCGCGACACTCGTTTCATGTCGGCGTTTTGGACTGCTCTCATGCAGGCGTCCGGCACAACAATGAAACCAAGTTCGGCTCGGCATCCTCAGACAGACGGGCAGACGGAGCGGGCACATCAAACTGCTCAAATGATGCTTCGTA